GTTTTATATGGATTCTTTCTTAAATTTTTATAAAGAATTTATAAAACTTTTATTAAATTCCTTATTTGAAACATATTCATTTTTTTTCACGGGGTATGGTAAAATTTCACAAAGCTCTCATAAAATTACTCGAAATGCCACGTTGTCCCACGATCACATGATTTTTAGGACAAGCTTTAAGAGAAGATTCTCTCCGTGTACAAACATTTACAACGGTGAAATGCCCCTTACGTTCGAGAGGTGTGCGATATTATAATTTCTTGTATTTTGTCACACGCCAGTTTGTTTTTAAAGACACGCAACTGCAAGAATTGAGTTTGCCGTAAACGTTTACCTTGTAAACATTAGGATTCTTTTTCGGGTCGGTCAACACGTCGAAAGCCGTGTACAGCTCGTTGAGCATGTTAACGATCTTCATAGCGCCGTTGGAGTCTGTGTTAGCGGCGCAGTAAGCGCCGAAACCGACTATCCCGGAGAACAGTAGGGTAACGCAATCATACTTTTTCGCCGGCACCGGTCGTGAATGCCTGAGCTCGTTCGCCACCGAGATAGGAAGCACCGAGTAAAGCAACCTACAGTGAATACAGATGATCTTTTATTCAACGTCGCAACTTGCCGTCGCGCGCGCTAGTTTTGCCTAATCGGATTAACGTTCGCGAACAGTTCTCGGAGAAATTTCCGCGAGTCGACGGGCGAGATTAAATTTGGATAGTTTCGACGAGAGAGTCTCAATTGCGGGAAATCTCGGGGAAAGATTTCTGCTGTCTGCCTCGAGCGCGAACGGAGGTCGGTGCCGCCGTTTCGCGATATCGTATCTCGTTACGAGTCCATTTCCGTCAATTTTCACCGGAAGGACTCCAGGAGCGCGCGCCGCGGCGCGGAGAAAAAAAGTCGCGTAATCGCGTTACCGATAAACGACGAGGCGAGGAATCGCCGGATAATCGGCAGCTGCCGCGGGCGGAGAGACACCTCACCTGTCGGTCTTCTGCTTCTCGCCGTCGAGCTCGCGATACGTCTGCTGCAGCTTATCGGTGAGCAATTCCAAGTTGCGCGTCAGTTTGTAGTCCGCCTCGAATTGCTCCGACATCAGGACCAGATCCCGAGTGGCGTCGTGCAGTGGGACGTCGCTCAAGTAGAGGCCCCGCCTGGAGCCGAAAGAAGGAACGCGGGGTGATACTCCGCGAAGACTTGGCGAGGACTCGGCGACGAAAAACCACCCCTTGGCCGTATCAAGTAGTGCGTCACGTATAAAACTTTCGGTAATGTCAGCACGAAACTCGAACCAATTACGTGTAGCGCGGACGAACAAAAGATTCCGAAGTTGACCGAGAGAAACAAGATTATCAGAACGCAACTTCCTTTTCCGCGAAAGCAGGCGAAACAAGTTTAACGAATCTCGTTACAACAACGAGGTTTGGCGCGCAAGTTTATGCTAATAACTATATGTACACTTTTCTCCACCCATCTGTCTGCGTTATACAGTCGCTGATTTATTGCGCGATAGAAGAGCGATGTAATGATTACGAAGGATTACGTAAGTCTTACCTAGTTAAGTCATCCAGGTTCATAACACTCGGGTAACATAGAAAGATAACCATATCGGTCTCGCGTATGTACAACATTTGACCCTGGAAAATTGATTGAAAGCCGTCAAGAGTTTTGCCATCAGCTCGATTTGATTTTCATTTTCATTAACTACTGACCTTCAAGCGCAAATACGAATATTCCTCGGCAGCATCGACACGCATCACCCCCTTTTTCGTTCTCAATACATAAACTGTATTAATGTGAGACAATATATTCTCAAATGTTAATTCCAGGTGCGGCCTGACCTATGATGATCCCAAGTGACAGTTAATTAACCCAATTGCATATAATAGTTTAGTAAATTGATTTACGTGTATCAAAATGTATTGGACATTGCGGTTGTCGGATACAAAATTGCGTGCACGCAATACACGCAGCTACGGTGCACTCAAAGTGCCTATGGCTTTTTCTTTTTATGCGGGATTATAATGGTGAGCTAATTGACAACGTTACATTCGGTACGCATGAACAATAACGCAAATTATGTTAAATGGTTGGCTCGGACAACACGCTCTGTGTTCATCACAATAAGCTGCATTTGATATACATTCACGTGCTTACGGGGGACATGTATGTAATGGCGGGTGCAATGCGTTGTACACTAATGCAATTCCTTTGACAGAGGAACAATTGGGAAGGTTTATTGAAAATTAGTGACCAATATCAGACAATACTTCGTGCAGTGTCGATGAAATGCCCAAGCGATGTTATCGAATAAAATCCCTCTTATTCGCAATTCGTAAAGTTTCGAAGCGAGTCCCCCGATAGATTGTGATTAATGATTAATTGGTCTACGATGCAAAATGAAGAGCTGCGTGTCGCAAGGGGGTAACCACTGGCTAAAACGTTGCCCCACAGATTACACGATTTCGTTTAATTTCACGCGATTTTCTTATGTGCACGTTTAAAAAGATATAACGTTGTTAAACCTCAAAGACATATTTTTCTTATTTTAATTCTAAGTATTTGCTTGTGGAGTAATTTCGGTTAGGATTGTAATATTCGGTCACGTGTTTCCTTGCTTCCCACTTTTCCCACTAGTCCAACCGTGGTCTCAACGAAAAGTAACTTTGGACTTGTATTTACTGTTTGTTGTTCTAAATTTGCGCACAAAGGCGTATCAACGTTTCAACTCGCTGTTGTTCTAACAGCAACTACTTCAGTCTTATTGTGAAAAGAATACGAGCCTATAGATGTGAATATATATTGTATGATATATATTTGGATATTCGCTAAAAGAAGTAAATTTTTTTGGAAAACAAGCTGAGGAAATATACAAATTTAATGTTTATTGCCTAACAAGTGAAGAAACTTGAAATTTGAGGCAAAACGATTACACGGGGATTTCGTAATGATTTCATGATTTCGGGAGACACTGTCCCTCGATTACATTAAGGGGATGCTGGAGTGATTCTGCACTTTTGCACCTTTCTAACCTAAAAACTGTCAGTTCGCGGAAACATTTGTGTAATATACAAATTAAATGGCTTACGTGTACAGATCTAAAGCAGCTTGCTATTCCGGCCAAATGAAAGAACAATATGGCATCACTGAAACTAAGTTTGTAAGTCTAATAAAAAATAATAGTGAGCAACACACATACTACATGTACTGTATGTATGTGTTGCTTACTATTATTTTTTATTAGACTTACAAACATAGTTTCAGTGATGTCATATTGTTCTTTAATTTAGCCGGAATAGCAAGCTGCTTTCGATCATCTGTACACGTGCCATTTAATTTGTGTATTACACAAATCTTTCCACGAAACAGACAGTTTTAAGTGCAAAAGGTGCGAAAGTGCAGAATCACTCCAGCATCCCCTTAAGTGGTTACCCGCTTGGTGTGTCGTGTGCAAAATACGTCAAGGTACAGGTTCATGAATTTGCGCGACGAAGCAAACGAGAGGCGAAAAATGTATAGACCGTGGTGTACATATTGTAGTTTGATGCTCGTTAACTCACAGTTAAGAGAATGTCGCTTAGTTTGCAATGACCGCTGGCAACACGCGGTATAACACGTGTTATGGTACATCCGGTTTGGACTATCGTGAGGTCCCGATTGAACATCAGGTGGAATGGAAAGACTCGACAGAACGTCGTCGGGCTGACCTTTGGCTCTACGGCAGTTCGTTAGATGTCTATTATTTCCTTTTCATTATACGAGATTTATCCTCGCAGTTTTTTTCACGTGTGACATTACGTGATTTTGTATTTCACTGTCGAATGACTCTTTTTTTTTTACGCCGACGCTTTTCATTGGAAGCAAACAGCGATAAACCACTCACCAACAGACAATGTTTCCAATTCAGCGATCATAGGGTTTGATACGACTCCTGGCCCTGATGTGTCAGTTATGAGGAATTGCACATGATCGCATTCGCTTTTAGTCTTCACTATTTGCATGTCAACGTCCGTGCCGTGCAGTTTTTTCGCGACGGTCTGTTGCAGAAATCAATTGAAATTTCTTTTTATCATTCTTTTCGACTAATCGTTAAGACATTCCCGTTAAATCGTGGAATTTATTAAAAAAATCGCCGCTGCATGCGCTCTCTCTCTCTCTCTCTCTCTCTCTCTCTCTCTCTCTCTCTCTCTCTCTCTCTCTCTCTCTCTCTCTCTCTCTCTCGCTCTCTCTTTCTCTCTCGTTATACCTTTCGGAGTCGAGTTTTTATAGCGTGGACGGTGGAATATATTTTCAGAAGGAAAAAAAAAGTATTCAAGAATAATTAAATTTCGTCCCGCAATTTCGATTTCTCGAGTCTTGCATAACGAATCACATGTTTCACCAGCAGTAAATGGAATACCTTAACAATTCCAATAACGATGTGTTCCAAACCAGGTCGATCCGAATAATAATGCAAAATAAGTGCCCCGTCCTCGGGTCTTTCCGTACATCTAAACGATGGTGCCCTCATGCCCGGATATAACGTACCCAAATGATCGTGAAGCGCGTCCAAATTCTGCAACGTGATACCGACATATACACATACATATGTGTGCGTCCGATATGTGCGCATATATGTACATTGTTTCCAATATCGAATATGAATTTAAAATGAAATGTTATCTCCGATAAAAATATTCCCGACGCTACAATAATAATGTATAATCCGCGTAAGTAATGTTTGAATAGATTTCCGTTTTTATTAAATACAAAGTAATGAATGTTATGTAGTGCGGTTAACGCGTTGTGAACAAAAAGTTAAAGGGAGAGCAATATAAAATGTAGTTGTATAATAACTGATATTAATGTTTGAAGCACATTTTATGCGACACGGTAATTCTCAGTATTGTACTGCAAAATGTAAACGAAATAATGCGAGTAAAATTCTGCAGGAAGCAGAAAGACCATATACGCTGAATTTAATTGCACTGTTCTCTTCTACACGAGATGAATAACTGAGAGAAATTGAATATACCTTTAAAATTCAGCGTATCGCTGCGCAGCGATATAAATTGAGATTTTTTTTGTCAGTATGTAATAAAAAAGAAGTAATCGTAATAATTACATTAGCTATTTCATAACGTTACTAATCATTTATGCTAATTTGTCAATGATAATTATTGATTTAATTCTGCGCTTATTCGCGCTTTTACGAGCGTATAAAAAATTACACATGAAAATAATTTTAATGGTGAAGCTTTCTAATATATGTTTACCCACGTATATCTTGCTCTGTACTGTGACTGGTTTAGCGAGCGGTTTAGCCATAAATTACGGTAACGATATACGTATAGGTACCAGATGCGGAAAACGTACGATTTAACGACTATTAAAGCTGTCCCTAATGCGATTCCGAAGCGTAAACGGGATCGAGTTGAATGTAAAGATACAGATTCTACTTTTCGCGCCGGTAAACCAGCCAGGCGCATTTCAATTGATCATATAAGAGAAATCTATAATCGACGTGGAGGACAACCTGCAAGATTTACCTGCAAAAAATCCCTAGGTGTTGCTCCAAGAACTTGAAGGATCTTGTCGTAACCGGAATCTTGGCAGAACTCGAAGAACATTCGACCAAACAACTCGAGTATTTCGTTGGCAGGTATATCTAGAGCACAGAGGATGTCTAATAAAATTTGCTGTTACAAATATAAATCCGCGCCATGTGGGCTTGTTTCGCATTATGTCGCAAGCATACGTACTAAGCTTATTAACAGCGGCGGATATCAGATTATACGTAATCTCATCTTCATAAATTTGTCGCACCAGAAACTGCCCTTCCATATTAACTGCCGCATCCTTTCTAAAGCATCAATACAAATTGTCAGAGTCCGTTTGCTAAGAAAAAATACATGCGGTAATTCTAAAAAATACATACAACTCGCGTTTGTAACATTCAGTCGTTATTTGTGACGTTTCCAAGTGCATCATTTTTTTTGTTGCAAAAAATCGATATTAGTTTAGCAGTTGAGTTGTTATTTCACGACAGCTTTAAACACACACTATAAATAGCGATGCTCACACATTTAATCATTTTGAAGGAATTTTAAAAGCTTGATAATTTGTTAAACACTTCACGCGGTCTTGCTGTCATTCAATTTACGTGTCAAGTGCTCAAAGTAGTTTGGTCTTTGATATGGATATCAGGTGTCACTGGAAGCTTACCTCAGCGTCTTTTGAGAGCTTCTGCAACAGCTTTACCAATATTCATATCACGGAACAACTTACGATATCTTCCAGAAAAGTTCTTCAGACGAGAGTATACTTACGTAAGAAAGTGCTAACAATAACTACACAAATAAGGTAACGCATAACTGTACAATCGAAATAAACGAAATAAATTAAAATAATATTAGTAATTAAGACAATATCAATTAGAAAAATTAATAGAGGAAGGTCCTCTATTATGGGGCAGGATTCTAATATGAGATAGTAGGTCTCCGTCGTCCCAATTCAATCGCAAATCTTTTTCCGCAACGATTACACGATCTAACGATCAATTTTCCGCTAAGCAGATTTCCAAGGGCGATAAATTCATGGTGGAGCCAACAGATGATGCCCATCAATTCAGCAGAAACTCCGATATCTCATACTGGGAGCCTATCTCATAATGGGGGACTTTTCCCTCTCATAATTTTGAATAATCTTTCGTTTATTTTGTCATTAATGAATTAAGTGAATTAAAGTTTACGTTTTAATTAGAGTTTAATTCCCCGCAAGTAACATTGTTGTGCCTTATATCTTAAAGCGTGTCAAGTGCTATATGTTACTTTCTAATTGCGTTATGACGTAGCTATAAAACTCGACGATACCTCCGATATTACTTAACATTATTCTGCAACCCAATTTTGCAGGTAATACCGTAAACTTCATTTAGGGCAGGCAAATTGACCTTCTCGCAGGTAATTTTAAACGATCCTTATTTTGCTCATAAAAGCATTTGTATTTCGAGGCAGAGGCGAATATACACTCGAGGATATTTTTATTGCGCAAATTTAGAATGCAATCGATACAGCAAGCTCGCGGCCTATTATTATAATAAGCGCGATAATTAGTGAAAAAGTGTAATTTTTACGACAACGCAATTCTTTTTTAGAAAGTTAAAGTTGCAATCTTTTGCAGTCTCCGGCCCGTGTAATATTATGTAATGTAAATTTATGTAATAATAAGCGCGATAATTAGTGAAAAATGTAATTTGTAATTTTTAAGAAAACGTAATTCCTTTTTAGAAAGTTAAAGTTGCAATCTTCTGCAGTCTCCGGCCGTTGTAGACAGCGTACATATTTGATCTTTGTGCCTGTTAATTTTACAATCATGACTCACCTCCTTTGGAGTTTTATCATTTGACTGCATGTTACATTGGCTTGATTATTTCTAAGAATGTGCTTGAGAAGGGCCTAAACCCTTGGTCGAGACGTCGCGTTGTACTTTTTAATTTTAATTCATTAAATACGTGCCAGTTGTGGTCGACCAAACCTATTCATTGTTATTTATTACTGGCAACCTAAAGAGATCATTATGTTTACAATCTTTTGTTCTTGTGAAAAATGAAGGTATCTTATGGGAGTCAAAAATTGCCCGTTGAGAAAGCTTTCAGCATAAATCAGGGATATGCACAGCGCGAGTGGGAAGGTCCGGGGCAAATAATATCTTTATCATTTTCGATATTAACAGACAGTGAAAAAAAAGGTCGCACGTGGCATGGCGACTTTGATAAACGCAACTTTGATGTGGCTGTAATACGACGTGTAACATGACAGCTGTACAGATATTTCTGTACAGGTCACGATGAAATGATATTGCACTCGGTGCACAAACTGCTCCTCTCTACGACTGACCTATGTCAACACTTGATTGCCCGTCGGACGGCAGTCGAGCGAAACGCCGTAGGGGAGGATTCGCGTAGGCGTAGGAAAAAAAGACTGTGCGCGGGGGGAAACCATGAAAGACAACGGAGACAGGGGTTGTCTATTTTCTACCTACTTTATCGTCTCCCACGTCTCGTTGCCGAAGGTCTTGACGACCAGGAGCTCGAGGGCGTAATTCACAAAACCGTACTGCACATACAAGGAGAGAAATGACATAATTTTGAATTCACCGGGGGTGAACGTAGGCGCGCTCGTTCGCCATCGACGTCGCGCAGATGCTGACGGGGTCCCGCGAGCCTATCATCCCCAACGTGCGCGATCGGCACGCGAGCCCTCGCGAGGCTCGCCGAGTGCGATCGGTAACGCGGCCGTCAGCACCCGTCGACGTCGCGCGGCCCGTCATCGAGTCGCCGAGTCCTCCGCACAGACGTACCATGCTGCAGCTGCTCTTGACAACCGGGCCGGGGGGGGATTATCGGGGTTGACCTCACTTCTCGCGCTCGTCACTCCATCCCGATTGCCGATCGGTGATCGCCGTGTTTACCTCGTGCACACGAGCCACGTACTGGAAGACGGGCCGTTTCGTTCGCCGGCAAACGATGGGGTATCGATTTTCCGGTCGTCGCGGCTGCGCCACCTAGACACCACCCTCTGGTTGCGCGCCTCTTGCACGAGCCGCCCTCGAGCGAGCTGCACACCACCCTACGGCTCCCCCAATCCGCTTTGCCACGGTGGTGCGGAGCCGGCGGCGCTATATAACTTCACGAATGAATACTTATAAGACCTTCGTGAGATTAGCGAACGGGAACGACTTCTGTCAGCTCGACCTGGCTCGCGCGCCGTTATTTCTCGGCCGTGGGGGGCGGCTGTTTATTTCCACCGTCTGAATTTTTCGGCTCCGACCCGGCGCGGACGCGCGCTTTTTGCGCGAGCGAGCTCGACGGTGTAGAATGAAACGCAACCCTCCCGGTGCCATGAATGCCGGGCGACGTCGCTTAGGAAGTTCGAAACTGCCTGCATAAGGCGTTCTTACGCGCCCTCTCCTAGTAACGAGCGATTTCTTCGAGTCAACTTCTTTTTCCACCACTGGCAAGATCGATGCGAGAATTATGCGCTTCGCGATGACGTTTCCCCGATATAGCGTTTCCAAGACGAATGCAAATCAGGCACTCAATTTGTTATTTAATTTCGCTGCATTGTACGTGTGACAATTACGAGCGGCTGACTTTGGAAGAGATTGGCGGCAACGTTTGGTTTACATAATAATTAATGGCACGGATAACAAACTGGAATTTATTCCATCAAGCGGACGCCGCGCGCGTGTCATTTCAACGATAGAATTACGACTACACTTTTGTTATACCATTTCGATAACGTTGCGTTGAATGTTATACAAATATTCTATCTTTGGAAGGTCTATTTAATGCGGCCAATGAATATAATTACGGCGATATGAATTACCGTCTCGTCAATTAAATCTGCTTTAAATCAGACATGTGGATCGCGTGCAATTCCACTTTGATGTCATTAATTTGCATTATTAATAACGCTGTAGAAAAATTCGGCGCGAAACCGTTTACCGGGGGGAATAAATTGCAGTGCACGTCGCCAAGCTAGTTAAAATAATGAACGCGAGACAGTAGCTTTGTTATCTCAGCAAAATAGTTAAATTGTGATAATTATAATGAAAGTATCGGTGCAGGTCAGTTATTATTACTGAATATTAAACGAGCTTAAATACGCCCCGCCCCCTTTTGCGAGCAGAAATTTTCTTTCGCGCCGACCTACCGATTGCAACCTTCGTCGCTAATAATAACTTGTATCGAGTTACGTTCTTTAACTTCGGTAAATATTGATAAGGAAATCTCCAAGTTGGGAATGGTGAAAATTTAAGTGCGCGCAATAGAGAAGATTGAAAAAAGTCTCTCTCTTTCTCTCTCTCGCGCGCGCGGGCGCGAAAGTACTTTAAGAATTGAACCAACTCCATGTTATAAAGTTCCAGCCTGGCAAATCCTTGAGACGGGAATTTTCCGTAGGAATTGCACGGGAATGGGTGTCTTCGGCGTTAACTATTCAAAGTGACCCCATTTCATTCAGCGCTATGCTGAGTAATGCCATAAAACACGTATGGAGGAAGGGCGTAATGTGACAATTTAAAAACGCTTAGTCACTACAATATTGTACGGCGCTTCTCGCAAATAGAAAGGAGGCGAAATGAGAGGAGGACGGACGCGATTCAAGATTAACTTTAATCTTGAACGCAATATATCGGAGCAATATTATTTCTGCGAGCGCGAATGTCGGGTACGCGCGCCCGCCGGCCGGTCGTCAAGCGTGAATTAATTAATTTCGGATCGATTGTCGGCCGATAGGAAGAAATCGTGTTGCCGGATGAAAATCTTATATTAATATAAATGCCGCGAGAACCCGGCTATCCGATGCGGCGGCTGTCTATTATTTAATTATCGCCGCGGCAAAGGAATGGGCAATGTTATACCTATTTCCGTATCTATCGCACTTGGCGGAATGCTTTTATCGCGACGACGTACGTGGCATTCCTAAGGGAGTTGCAGCGACCTCGTTCCCATTGTGTAAAACGAAAATGGTTCCCGCCTCTCTCTCTCTCTCTCTCTCCTTAGTACTCAATTTTCCAGAAATACGATGAAAACATCGTTCGTCTTCGTTCTTATTGATCCGCTGCCAATCGTATCATTCGGCGCGTAGACGCGTGATGTACGAGCCCGAGCCGGGTAAAAGTAAAAATTTTCGCCGATGAATACGCCGCGATGAAATGCAATCGATGAAAGAGCGGGGTGTGCGCAAAAGTTAAATTAAAAAAAAAAAGAAGAAACACACTCGGTCCGACGCGGCGCATTTATCGAGTCCGCGTTGAAATTATCAATGACGTTCGGTTTAAAAAATGTAAGAGCAAATGCGCGATCTATAAGTGGACGGAGATGCATGGCTTCCAATTTCATGAATTGCGTCGCGTCCGAGGGAGCCAATCGCGTCGACCGTCAAATGAAACGCACGGCTATCGACCATCGAGATTAAATGGTTCGGAGTGATTCACGGGTGATAGGGGAATCTGCAGGTGCCGGGGAATTGATTCGGCGCCGGCTGCTAAAGCTCTTTCTAGGAACGGAAGCGTCATACATTTTGGGAATAAGCAAAGAGTGTCACGAGCCACGCTAATCACAATCAGGTCCCATCGGGCGTGAGATCGGCTCGTCTTTTCTGACCTGTAACATTTGTTCTTACAGAGAGATTTCACGAACCTGCATCGGTGGCGCAGTTACGCACGAAAATCTGTTATTTACAGGGAAATCAATTTGTTAGCTTCATACTTCTCTAATTTATAAAAATACACGATAATCTTGACGTATCAAGCTACATTTCCACACTGAGAAAAAAATTTTCTTAATTTTAGAAAATATATTTACTAAAATTAGATTTACTTGATTTAAATAAATAATGTTTAAAATGAAAAGTTTTTCTCTTTATTATAATAAATCAAAACATTAAAATTAAAAAATGATTTCTTATTGAAACATTTATTTAAATCTAATTCAGATTTGCTACATTACAGTACAGCACTTGTTGAAATGTAGTAAAGAACTTTTTTAAATGTAGAATCTTGATATTTTAATTTTATAAAAACCATTTTAGTACA